AGTGCAGGGGGCGCAGCAGCGACGCGCAGCGCGTCACCCGGACGAAATTGGGACCGACTGTTCGAAAAATGCGCGCGACGAGAGTCTGAATGTACTTTCGTAGTACATCGATAGATAGATAGATGGCGGATGGTTTCATGCAAGCTGGAGATCATATACTTACGGATCGGAAAGACCTCTTCGGACGAATCGCTTTTGCCGGCGCTGGACAATCCCAGCGATCCCAGCTGCAGCTCACCTTTGCACGACGGTGACGTCCACGGCCCGGCGAGGCGCCGGCCGCCTGGCGCCAGTCGAGCTCAGGAGGATCGCGCCGCGCGCGTCGTGGTCCAGGGGAATCCAGGAACGGCCGACGAGACGGCGTTCACTGAATGACGGGGATATCGCCGGGGAAGTGTTGAGGGGGAAGCCCCGCGGCGCTGCCGGCGCTGGTCTGTGTCCAGGTCCGTCGCCTCCGCGTGCTCCGCGTGCACCCGTGACGACCGGTGGCAGGACTTCAGGCGGGCGTCGCCGTTTTCGAAGACTGCTACGCCGGATGGAAAGGAGGGAATTGAATCCAGGGCGTCGGCGGCTCGTGGGCTTACGCTTCAGACCCGCTGACCGACCAAGATCGGGGTCAGATCATGCAGCGACAAAGCGAGAGCCCGGGCCGGGGGTCTCCGTGCAGGCCGGGGTGGGGGCCGCTGGGGCCGCTGGGGCCGCGGGACGAAAGGGGTGTCGCGGCCCGGCAGAAGCGGCGGCGGCGGCAGCAGGGCGTAGACCCCGCGGGGCGGAGTCCTTGATCCCACAAGCACTACAGTCGGTGTTACCGGCGCGGGCAGGGCCGTAATACCCGCCGGCGCTCCCGTCCGCGACCGCCCCGCCCCGCCCCGCCCCGCCGCCGCGCTTGCACCGCCTCAGTGCCGTGTGAATGACCTGACAGTGGCAACAGCTGGCCGGGCCGAGCAGTAGACGCTTGCTGCCAATAAAGATTGCGTTGCATTAGTCACAGCTAACAGCGGCAGTGATGGAGGGGCTGACATAGGCTGACATGGACGGACGGGAAGGACCCACCGATGAGCCCAAGCGAGCACTGTTGCAGTGACACGGTGAGGGTGGCGGCCACGGAAGCGCAGGAGTCTTGTTTCAGAACGTTTAATAATGATATATGGATACCCATTTTCACAGCAACAAAAATAAACATCATAAGATAAGAATAAAAATAAGCGTTGACCCATGTATCATGATGAGTCTTTTCTTTGACTACATAGAGAAACATTAACTTTGGAAACCTTTGGTATACATGATACATAATTAAATCTTAAACCTATGTGGCACTGTGCTCAATGGTTCAAGTCAAAACAGCAGAACTACTGTGCACTGCAAAGGCTTAACTAAACACAATAAAAAGAGTTAGGTTTCAGACTGGTAAAAATTAGAATAAACATTGAAAAATGGTCTTGTCCTCGAGCGGCTTTGTTCCTGGCAACCCTTACTAAGAAAACAATTGAAATGGCACATTTTATGAAACTAAACTTGCTATGTCTTGACAACAAATATTGAACACACTGCTGATAAATGCAAACCTGTTCCACATAGTTAACAAACAATATTAAAACAAACAAAACAACAATACAATTATACCCCAAGACAAACAAACTCAATTGACTCATGTGCTTCACCCATCATTTACAAAAAAACAGTGCATTAGGCTTAATATAAAGTTTCGTAGTGTCCAATACCAACCTTTTACTCACAGACGCACACAATATAGTAAATAGAATGGAAATACATAAAGAAGCACCATAACAAATTTAAGAGATTCAAAAAAGTGATGACAAAGAAGTTTATATAGCAGACAAATTGTCATTATGCTAAAAATGGTAAACCATTTCATGGTTAATCTTTGGCTTTTAAAAACTGTGCATGGATAGAATAGGATACATTCACATTTCACAACAATTGACATCAAAGTTAACTCACAAACACAGCAAAAACATGTAATCAATCAAACCGGCCTCAGCCATTAAAACTAGTAATCCCATGACTTATGGGCTTACCATAAGCATTGCACATGTAAAACAATTGGGACATGGCAGTAGAATAATTTTAGTAGGGCGCAGTAAAAGAAAAGTGATGCCTTTGAAACAAAAATAACTGCTTCTTTGACTATAGATTCGGCTGCAACAAGGGAAACAAATAAATTTACTTCTCCTTAAGTTAAGAATGAAAGATTGTCTAAAATCATCATTTTAAAGTCAACATGAAAAAGTTCTTCTGGCCCATTAATTTTTTCTCAACACAGAGGTAGTAAAAAACTATGAGAAAAGTTGAAAAATGAAGTAAGGTAAGTATTAATACTTATGCTCTCAAGAAGTTATGAGATTTAATGAATTAGACATCACATACGTTATCTAAGGCCTGTTTGTAAATAATCTCCAACTCCTCCCTCAACTCGAACATACATGAGGTTTCCAGTTAGAGATAAAGTCAAGGAAACAATATATATGAAATGTAGATATGTTTTAACATAGATTAGTTTAACAGTCATTGTAGTTTAAAATCCTACCAACAAATCAGAAAAATTACGATACGTCATGTTATTTTCTTTTTTTTTAGTGTGTATCCAAAAACACTTGCTCCACATCTATGACATGTACATGTAGAAGGTATGGAAAGCACACACCAATACCCGTCAAAATGATAATAAATGTGAGTATACAGATGGCAAGAAAAATGACATATTTTAAAGGTCCTGCACTCAAAATTAACAGAAACTTTGATGAAACATGAAAAAAAATCATACTACAGAATTGGTGTAAAGCTTCACCTCAAATTTTGCTTGATTACTTTCCTAAGACAAATTAATGCCAGTCTTAATGGATTTCTTTCTCTTTGGAAAAGTCACATGGCATCCAATTCATGTAGCTTTTCTATTTTGGCAGCAAAATAAATCTCGAGATTCACAATAACAGAAAATTGTACAACAGAGACTAGTATATAGTTACTCAAGAGATTACCGGTAATAACCAAGTTTAAGAAGAAAACATATTTCATAAACCTGTAAGAAAGAAAAAATATGGCAACACTTAGTTTTCTTCATGTGGGACCCTTGAAATTTATGAGATTATTTATCATCCTGAAACACAAGTGTAGGAGCATCCTGAGCAGCACTATATGGACAAGGATTGTCCAAACAGGATGTTGAAGTGCATTCCACAACGGGTGCATGAGAGGAGTCCCACATGCCAGGCCCACACATCTGACAAAGCCCGGCAAGAGTACAAGGAATACAAGGCCTTTGTCGAAATTGGTACAGTAAGCCTCGTGCCTGTAAGCCCAAAGAATATCTTGACGATACTTTGCATTTTCTTGTAGATAAAAAAATATCAAATACAGGGTGCTCAGAAATTGCCAACATCCATATTATATTGCTCACCTTTCTCAAAATTAATTGACCGTCCATGAACATGGCAAGAGAGCTAAAATGGAGAAGCATTTCATCTGTGTGTAAGTCTTGAGCAACCACATCATCAGCATAGACTGATAAAATTGCAAGACAGAGAAATAAATGAAAGTAATCTGTTATGTAATTTGCCCAACATGCTTCCCACATCGACAGAGCAATAGGCTCTGGAAATTCTCTTTTAAAACACCTAATAAAAAGAAAAACAACAGAAAATCAGAGTTCTGACTAGGAATGTGAGAATGAAAGTGATATTAGAAGAAAACTTACAACAATATCCATCGATGACAAAATAGGAGTTCCATGGCGTCAGTGTGACGTTCCAGATGATTGTAAAAGGCAGGGAGCATCACTCTGATCAGTTCACGTAAATACATCTAAACAAGAGACAAAGGCTTAAAATATGGAAAAATTCTGATAGGTCTATGTTAGTGCATATCTTATTTGTAATAGTGTTAGGTTCTCACAAGGGAACGGTCCATATCACCATCAGTAGGTGTGCATACAAAAGAAGCTCTTTGCATTAAACCAACAAAACACCAAAATGCATCTGCTTCATTCTTCATTTCTGCAAGAACAGGTGCAAGCAAATCTGACATTCCTTGAGTGTAGCCAGCACCTTTGTTGTAAACAGCATAGTTTAAGAGAATGTTCCTAAAACAGTTTGAAGGAGAACATGCTATTTGGATGCAACCGAATACCAAGCAAGAACTAATAGAATGTATGCAATATTAGATACATAAAGACATGCACGAACTAAGGCTCACTTCATTATTTCGATGTTAGGATTATCAGACCCAGCAAAGTAAGGGTTAGCACGGTCAGTTCTTACAACGTCTTTCTCCACAACACATTGCACATTGCGAAAGAAATCATCATAATCTTCTCCTGATAGAGATTTACGCATTTCCCTTTGAAAGAAGGAAAAGTAGATGTCAGAGTGTATTAATAGTGAGTAGACAGTTAGTAAAAATTCCTCATGCTTCCAATGCAAAACAAACGAGAAGACCCTTACATGATGTTGAGATATTCTTGTCTACGCATAGCTTGAGCCTGTTCCCTTTCATCGTATGTAGATGTGTATGGGAAGCAATGCAAGAGAAAAGGCCAAACAACAGTTCTCAAAGTTGGATCAAGGCCACCAAAAAATATTCCCTGTGCAAATAAAATGATTAATGTAAATTGATACAAAAATAAAAATAGACACAGAAAGTTCCTTTCCTGTCCTCTATTACAAGAGTACCTTTCTAAGAGTTAAGTCATCCTCGATTTGTCCTTCAGGGTTCAATACCTGTATCCACACATCTAGATCTACAATTCCAATTTGTCCTTCCTCTGGATGTAGCTCATCCTCACCAACCTCAGGCCTGCAGAACCAAACATAGTTTCATAGAAATTCTTATCCTACAATTTCACTTTTCTGTATCATAAAACACAGATCATGTTGGGATGAATCCATACCTGCAAATCATAAAGTGGCGATATGGTAAGGTATCTTGAATGCCTATCGGTTGTGGGGTGTATAGAAGAAAACTCCAATCATTGAGAACAGCAGCAAGATGGTCCAATCCCCCATGATGGAAGTGCAATATTTTGTACTGGCTTTCCCGTGATGCAACAACAAGTTGACCACTTGTACATTCTGTGTCATTGAAGAATAAACGAAGAGAACGCATTTGGCCTGAGAAGAAACAAATATAATTACTTTTATACAAAGTATACAAACACAATGAAGAATGAAGCCTGCAGTGACAAGTCAACTAGTTCATACCCAGGTCTACAGAGAATCTTCTGCAACTATGGGTTCTCCGAACAACAGGTGATGCAGTGGCACTCTCAGGGAATGTGAGATTATGTCTGAGGGCCAGTAATTCAGGAGAGCTGAGCCACGTTGGCATGTCATCTGTTCCAGATCACATACATTAACAAGCACATGAAGTGAAAAAAGGAAAGCAAATATTTCACAGAAATACTTACCACTCTGAAGTGATGGAGGACAGGAAGGGTGAAGAAAGCTACAAGTTGATGCTGAGGAAGGTGATCTCTGGCGAATAGGTTCATTTTCATCCAGAGGTGGTTCAACAATACTTACAAGAATGTCCTCTCTAAAAATTTGACATAACATGCAAGCTTATAACAATTGGATTCTTAAGAACAAAGAAACCAGGAAAATTGACATACGCACCCTCTGGACCCTGACTGAAGTGTGGGAAATTTGGCAGTATCTGTTGAAATATCACCTGTTAGCTTAGAACCGTTTGTAGAATGAGTTGGACTCAAAGAGCTTGAAAGACTTAGTTTGTCAGTCAACTCTTCTGCACTGATAACATCAGCATCCTGAGTAGTCAATGATGCTGATTCTTCTGAGAAAATAATTGTGTAAAATCAGGGTGTTTTGTTTCAAAACCATCATGCTTCTAAAAAAAGGGTCAAGAACCAACCTGATGTTTCTCCATTACTTTCAACATTTCGCTGAAGAAGGCTGTTAGAGCTTGGAGGTTCTGAGGTAGCGAGACTAGGGGGCCCACTTCTATGATTAGATTCCCAGCTTTCACCTCCAGAACTTCGTCGCCGAAACTCGCGAAATGTTGTTCGATAAGTTGCATCAATCAAACGTTCTTCAGCCAAGCACTAATTATTAAAAGAAGAGTTATTGATAACTATTTAATAATGATTATTTTAGAGCGTAAGAGCAGTATGGTGTATAGTGTAACTGTTATTGTATACCTTCAAACAGGATTCCTTTCCACATGGTAAAGTCACATCACTGGAGGACAAAGAATCACTTCTTTCATCCCTGCAAAATGTAAAATTGGTAAGTTTTATTTTTTACAGAAAGTGTGAATAATGACTGTGGTCTACAGTCAAACACATTTATCTAACTTGTAATTGTGCCGTTGGATAGCCCCTGGATGTTTATGTAGGGTACTATTAGGAATCCAGCTCAAATGCAGGGTTTTGGTTTTATGCTGTAGACCACCAAGCTGACAGCTCACAGATAAATAACCAGGGTGATGTACTACATCACAAGCTTGTCTCAGTAGGGCCGGAGGATGAACACAAACATTGTTTTTACCTAAAATGATAAAAAAGAACAATTCAAGTAAATACTTTATGCTTTAAATCCATAGGAGGTCTAAAATGTCAAAATGTAAACAAACACTATCCATTGAATGAATGGCATGTTTTGACAGTAACTAGAAATTGGCACCTACAGAAGACAACTTCTCCTTCGTTGAATGGGGGGTTTTTCTCTTCGTGTCCTCCTCCAAGAATGTAATTGGAAGCTTTCTTTAAAATGTTTGGCAGCGGCATTGTAGGGGAAGGGGAGGATCCTCAGATCACCTCTTCTCCATCCGTCGGATCTAACTGAGAAGACTAGATGGAGCGACCACTTCTGCCCTGGAATTTTTCTCATCGCGCGTTGAAAAATTCTTTCATTTGTGACGTAAAAGGTGTATTTGCCATTGTTCAGGAATAGAAATAAGGGAACATATGTTACTTAACCTCCTAATCTAAAACTTTGTCAACCATTTTGGTTCGGCTGCTGGACCATTTGTTTTCTGGCTGCGAAGTGACCGGAACAAGAGAGAGACAGAGAAACTGAACGGTTTTCCGGTGCCACGTCTCTGCCTTACGATACCGGTTGTATTTGTTTATTTATTTACTTCGTAGGAGGAAGAAAGAGTGGGACCAAACTTGAAATCACAGCGGCTGGCCGTATAATACATCCACGTCAGTCTTAAATCTGCAGAGGATCCTTTTTTATTAACGAAATAGATGATGGCAGCAGCAGTTCCTCCAGAATTTGGACCAGATGCAGGAGGACGGTTAAAGGTACATGGGATCCCAACCTCGCTTGCTTCATTTCTCTCTAGAATTCTTTAATTTCTGCTCTTGTCACATAATTTGTTCGTATTTTGTCGAACCATCATGCAATCCTAATTTCGTTTAACCTCACGCCATGCAGATTTTTGGGGGTGCTGACTCTTGTTGTTAATTTTTCCAATATATTTCTAGGGTGTAACTGTTGTCAAACCTATCATTTATGGAAATGTAGCCAGGCATTTTGGCAAGAAGCGTGAAGAAGATGGGCATACTCACCAGTGGACAGTATATGTTAAGCCATATCTTAATGAAGATATGTCAGGCTATGTGAAGAAAGTTCATTTTAAACTGCATGACAGCTATGCGAACCCCAACCGAGTTCACAATAAACCCCCTTATGAAGTAACGGAGACAGGATGGGGAGAATTCGAAATTGTCATAAAAATTTACTTTCATGATCCTAATGAGCGTCCGGTATGTTTCTCAAATTGAATACATCTTTTGTTTTGTTTCGAAAACTATTGGATCTAACAATTTTCTCTTTGATTTCAGGTTACCCTGTACCATATCTTAAAACTTTTTCATCAGGGAGCTGATATGGCCCTCAGTAAAAAGACTTTAATATCTGAGTTTTATGAGGAAATCGTTTTTCAAGACCCAACCCAGTATATGCAGCACTTGTTAACAAATGTTCAGCCAGTCACTATGGCTCCCTACAAACATGAAACAGATTGTGAGTTTTTGTGTTTCGTTGATATTTCTAGATTCTTCTATTACCTTACAGCTATTAAAACTTGCTTGTTCAATTTTCAGTTGAGGAGAAAAAAGTAAAATCCTATCAAAACATCTTAACTGCAAAGACAAAGATTAAATCAGAGATAACAGATGTGAAAGAAAAACTGAAGAAAGCAAAGGAAGCAATAGCAAAATATAAAGAAGAAATTGCGAAGGCTCAGTCAGGTAGCATGGCGGAAAGTCCGTCATTAGCTTGAACTGTATTCACAATATATTTTGTACATTTTTATTTTTTGCATTTTAAGTCATGTTTACAGTCATCATTTTTTCAAATTCTCACAAAATAAATTGACATCTGCGGGAAGTATCCCTATTATCAAATAATCATTGTTTCCCATGAATTCCTGATCTCCATTTAAAACTTACCTTTATAATAACTAAAAACTTCAATTGTAAATATTTAGTAAAAAAAATATTGAAAACTTTCAAAAGGTATTTTTTGGCTCGTAGTATCCTATTTCATTACCAAATGTAATTCTATGTACACATTTAAATAGAACAGTATTTTTGCAGCCTTCATGATAGTGTGTGTGTGGAAGAAACAAACTTATTCACTCTACATACGTACCTCTAAAACTTAGTATTAAAACATCTGCTTACTTTATACATGTTAAAATCAAATGACAATGACTAGTACGTGGCGAGAGTTATCCGTCTCTCTGGCATATTTTGTCCTTATTGCGGTTTGAGCACAATGAAGAAACTCTACATGAGATCTGTGGTGTGGAGCCGGCGCGTCCCCTTGGGACATCACAAGTCGAGGCCGAGGTCCTCGTCCGAGTCTAGCGAGCCGAGCAGGAGGTTGATGAACTCCGGGACGACGTCGGGTGGCTCGGTGCTCTGCGGGGGCAGCTGCGCGAGCTCCGGTGGCGCCGCCCCGGCCAGCTGCCCCGGGGTCCCCGCCGACGACGGAGAGCGGTCGCCGACGCCGCCGATCTTATCGACCAGCCAGTAAGTGTTCATGACGCCCTTGCCCTGCAAGAGAGCACAGCTGAGTGTGACGGCCGGAGTGCTCAGGGGCAGCGTAGTGAGTGATTCGCTCAAAAGCATAAGTGCCTCGATCAGCGCGCATACACCCACCCTCCAGTAAAATCAGGGAAAAAAATCTAAGGAAATTCAATAAAAAAGAAATATTCAAAAAACAGACAAAGGAAGGGAAATTCTGGAGAAAACGAAAAATATATTTTAGAAATCGAGATAAAACAGAAAAAATTGGTCTAGCTTTCATTTATAGTAAAGGACCCCTCGGTATGGAGCGCTCAAGCAAAAGCTTTTACCTTGATTTCCAGCTGCCCCCGCAGCTCGACCACGTACCCTCCCAGCTGGTCCAGGTACTGCTTGGTCTGCTCCGTGATGTGGATCCGCATGGCTGCAACACAATAACGAGAAGGGATGCCTTTTTTTGCCATGGAGACAAACAGGGAGGGTCGAAACATACGCTGCGGGAATCTAGGCCCCAGCGAAATAAGTGGGGAACAAGGGGATGAATCGACACATTCAAATTTCAGCATTAATAAATAAAAAATGAGCCCCCTCCCGATTACCCCC